GCCCTTTCACCATCCTGGTGGTTGTCCTCTGGATATCCTCCCATTTGTCAGTGCCCTTCCTAAAAGACTAGCACAGAACCCGATATTCCAGTTGTGGGCTCATCAGGTAGGAAAACAGCAGGACTGTAGTGGTTCTTTTGCCTCCCCTGCTCATGCCATGCCCTTTGCTTCTCAGTACAACCTTAGCTCTGCATTAACTTTTTTTTTTTTTTTTTTAGTGATGAGTGCTCAACAGGGAAATAAGGTTAAGTTCTGGGTCTCAAAAATATCTAGCAAAGAAAACATCTTGGGAAGGTCTTCTCCTTCTATCCAGGTAGCTGATGCCCCATTGGGACTGAAACTCCCGCAGACTTAGACCCCATACCTTCCTTTTCTGAATGGTTGTACAATGATGCTCATCAGCTCCAGGAGAGGCAGCTGAACAAACCACTGGGCCTGGAGGGAGGAAGACCAAATTCAGCCTCAGACACTGTGTGACCTAGGCCATGGCACTTCACCTCTGTCTGCCACACTTTCCTCATCTGTAAAATGGGGATAATAATAGCACCTGCCTCCCAGCATTGTTGTGAGGATCAAGTGAGAGGATATTTAATAATAGCAAGTATTTATTTGGTGCTTACTATGTTCCAGATACTGTGATACACACTTCACAATTATTTGTAAAGATTGCTTAGTACAGTGCCAGCACATAGTGTTCAGTTGTTGTTCAGTCTTTTTTCAGTTATGTCTGACTCTCTGTGACCCCATGTGGGGTTTTCTTGGCAGAGGTACTGGAGTGGTTTGCCATTTCTTTCTTCATCTTATTTTACAGATGAGGAAACTGAGGCAAACCGGGTTAAGCGACTTACCCAGGGTCACACAGCTCGTAAGTGTCTAAGGCCAGATATGAACTCAAGAAGATGAGTTTTCCTGACTCCAGGACAAGTGCTTTATCCACTGTGCCACCTAGTTGCCCTGACTGGCGCATAATAGGTGCTACATAAATGCTTACTCCCTTCCCAACTTCCCCTTCAGGAGGTGTGGGATGGTATGTTGTTGGAGATTATCTAGTCCATTTGACAAATGGGGACATTGAAGCCCAAAGGTACTGAGTGACTTATACATCCACACAGTAAGTTAGTGTCAAAGTTGAATCCATTTCTCCCAATTCCTAATGCAGTGCACTTACCATCACACCCTATTTTCTTTCTGAAGTGGTTAGTGAGCTGGCCTTTGGACCAGAAGACCTGGGTTCAAGTCCTGTCTCTGACACATACTGGTTCTGCGACCCTTACCTCTCAGTGCCCAGGCAACTCTCTTCAGACTATAAATACCAACCTGCGTTGGTAGAGGGACTGTCCTCATCTGCGAGTTCCTTACACTAATGAAATCTTGGGTCTGGTTCACAAAGAAAGAAAGTGACGAATATGTGGAGGAAAATTTGTTTCCAGACTTGACTCTACCATTCACCAGCAATCTTTGGGAAACCTCTCTCTAAGCTTTATTTTCCGATTCTGTACCAATATAATCACAAATCCAGACCTTATCCCTATGAAGGAAGCTGAACAGCAACCGTAGAGTGTTGGTTGGAGAGCCCTCCTCCGGGTCAGGAAGGCCTGGTTCAAGTGTTACCTCAGATACATATTGATATTGCTTTGACGCCAGGCAAGTCATTTAACCTTTAGTGTTTCAAAGAGTTCTCTAGTTTTTTAAAATAAATTTTATTGCCATCTCTTATTTTCATATCACCTAAAATTTCCCCTTATCTCTCCCATCCCTCCTCACAGAGAGTCATCCAATATCAGATTTTTAAGTCCCAGAACTGATGCTGAATTGCAGTGGGTGGTGAGCTCAAGAGGTCCTTACCAGGGGCTCCCTGCCCCAAGGAAATCATCTGTGTAACTGGCAGATGAAGGATGGTCTGAGTTCCAGTGCTGCCATGCACTAGCAACCTTTTAAAAGCTGGTCACCCTTTCTCCAAGGCTCAGGTCCACTTCTGTAAAATGGGGGGGAGATAATAATTCTTCCTACCCATGTTATAAGGTCATTGTGAGGGTCAGATGAGAAAGTGAGTATGGAAAGCACCTCTGGATGTGGGAAGATCAGAAGTCTGACTGGCTTGGGCTGCTTTCTTGACAAGTGGCTGGTTTCAGTGGCCTGGTGTCCATCAGCCACGTCAGGCGTCACGGTGACTGTTGGAGCTTTAGAGACGGAAGACACTTTCAAGAAGATCACTTGGTCCGGTCCTCTCATTTTATAGAGGGAGGGAACCAACCCAGGCAGGTTAAGCGACTTGCTTAGGATCGCTCAGACAGCAAACAGACGATACTGTTGTTTTACTAATGGACTGTCTGTCAGGGATGGGGAGCCCCTCGGGGAGGCCGGCATCCCGTTGTCAGATGTCATCATTCTTCCCTTGACAGGAAGCCAATGATCTTAAAAAGTGATGCACAATTCTTGTATGTCTTCGATCTTCAGACTCTTCAGAGTGAGTCATTAGTCAGGGCTGGGCTGGGTTGCCCAGTTTCTCCATCCAAATCGTGCCCCTCCCCCAACGCCTCCCTTCAGCTTCTTGGAGTGTTGTGCTATGTTCCAGGTGGGTTTAAGAAGGACATTGGTAAGATGGAGAATATTTAGAGTAGGGCAGCCAAGATGGGGAAGGGCCTTAAGTCTGTGTCGTGAGAGAGAGACAAACAGACAGACAGGAGAGAGAGAGAGAGAGAGCCCTGTCCTCTATATGTGTATATGCAAACAGATACTGTCAAGCTTTTCTTTGGGGTGAGGGGTACCCCCTTTCTCCACCAAGCCAGATGCCCACCCCTGCACACCTTAGTACAGCTACCCTCATATAAATTATCTACCCCAGATTTCAGAAGCTCTGTGACATTATTGACATCTCCATGGGTCGAATCTTCTAGCTCCGCTGGTTCTTTGTTTACTGCATTCCATCTCCTTCCTGGGGTGCTCTCTTCCACAGTGCCTCAGCCTCCTTCAGAATTTAGCTCAATCCCATTCTGCAGAAGGCTTTTCCTAGTCCTCCCCAGCTACTAGTGCTGTCTCCTCTAAGGTTACTGTGGTTACAGTTTGTCTAGATTTTGTACAGGTTGGTTTGCCTAGGAGAATGTAAGCTCCTTGAGGACAGGCATGATTTATTTCCCTTTTGTCTTTGAATTCCCAGCACTTAGTTCAGTGGCTGGCACAAAGTAAGTGCTTACTTATGATAAATGCTCATTGATTGACTGTGTAGGATTCTATAGTGAGTCAGTAGCAGAGCTAGGCCACAAACATGGGTCCTTTGCCTCTTAGGCTATAGGTCTTCATGGATCAGATGGGACTGGAGCTGAGCCTCAGTTACAGGGTGAGGCAGAGACAAGCATCCTTGCAGCCTCACCTGCTGTGCCCCACACTGACAGCTATTCATTTACCTTTTGTACTGCTGCGGGATGTGGAAGTGTCAGTAATCGGGCATGAGGATGGGAGGTGGGGTGTATGAGGGGAGCAGGGCTGTTTCCTGTCTGGTGCTTAAGGCTTCCTCTGGCTGACTCACTGATTCTTAGCTGGGCCCTGCAGGCAGTGAATGTGATCAGGTGGGAGCCAGGGCTGGCCCCATCTCAGAGGTATTGGTCCCCCTATTTTCCCAGTAGTGCCTGCCTCTGAATCCCGCTGGGTGCCCAGAAGCCCTGAGAAAAGGCCAGGTTAGGCCTCCATGTACGTTTTCCTCTCTTGTCTCTGTCTCTCCCTCTGTTGTTTTCTCTCTGTCTCCCTCTCTCCTCTCTCCTGCCTTTGGTACCTTTGGCTCTATGTGCCCATCTACGTGCCTTCTAGAGTCTGGCACATTTATCCGTCTCTGCATGGCTCTGTCCGGCTTTGTGCTTATCATTCGCCCACCTCGGGTGTCTCTCTCCATCTCTGTGTCTGTTGTCTCTCTGCTTGTCTCTCAACCATCTCTGCAAGGCACAGGCTGTCTGTTGTTGTCTCCCTCTAGCTCTGGTTTTGTTGTCCATGCACCCCGAGTGTCTGTCTGCCTCTGGTTATCTGCATTTCCTATCTCTCTCTGGCCTTGGGTCTGTGGTCCATCTGCCTTTGTGTGTCTTTGCCTCTGGGTTTCCCCCATTCTCGTCCTTTCCTGTTTGTCAGAAGCTTCAAACGACAAGAGTGATGCCGTGCTTTCCTCCCACCCCCAGCCTTACAGACAGGGCTTCTGTGTAGCCCTTCCCTGTCCCTCCCCTCATCTCCCTGTGAAGGGCACCTTGTCAGACGAGCCCCTGTCCTGGGGTTTTGGGGGTCTGGGCCCCGCTCTGCCTATCCCCTCTTGTGCGTGGGAGTTGGTCATGGTTCCCCATTGCCCCACTTTACCCTGGCTTGCTGAGAGTGAGGGGGCCAGGAGCTGTCAATGAGTCACCCACATGCTATTCTGTGCCGCTAGGCTCTTAGTAATGTAATTGGAGTGTCCCAGTTCTTCCTCCTTCCTCTCCCTGCTTTCCTCTGTGCTTCCTCGTCTTCCAATTCCTCTTCCAGACTTTTCCTCCCCTAGTTTCCTTTTCCTGGTCTTTCTCCCTCCCCCCTCCTTTTTCCCCTCCTCATCTGGGTCCAAGGGCAGCAATATAACAGCTGGTTTCACTGACCAGCCCGAGAAGTGGGTTTCAAACAGCTGGAGAAGGAGACTTGCCTAGGCAGGGGCATAAACATCAGCCTCCACTCCTGCCCTTGGGCCTTGCACCCCTCCCCTAGGGGGATCTGGAGCATAGCCCTGAAGGCAGCATGCTGGCTAGATAGGAGGTGCTGCGGCCCTGGATTCACTGGCCGGCTCCTTGGCTGGACACTGGATGTATTTCTATCTTCTCAGTGTTGTGTGTGCATGTGCAGTTTGGCATGCGGCTGTGTGTGTCTGGTTTGCGGATTGTTGTCAGCGTGGTGGTGCGTTTGTGAAGATTTCAGTGCTTTCCTGTTTTTACTTGCTTGCCTGGGGGCAGGCTATACTTGAATGACCCGTGTCTATCTGCCTTCTTTCTCCCCTGCAGTGTTGCCTGTGAGGTGGCTGTGCCCCCTGCAGAGGAGGTGCCCTTGGGCAGTGGAACTTTGGACGACAACTGGGACAGGCCTTTGAACTACAGGTAAATTTGAGAGCTGCCTCGGGAGGCCCTCAGCCTTGTTATTCAGGGGCCCTTCTGCATTAAGGTCCATATGTGGAGAGGAGAACAGCCACATTTGGTGTGACCCTAGAGGACACAGCTAAGACCAGGTGGGTTGTAGGGTGGAAAGGGACTCGGAGACAGATTTAGTCCAATGTATAGAAAAACGCACTAAAAGGCAAGTCTTCAATTAATACAGAGAGTTAGCAGGAGAGGTAGTGAGCCCCTGTCAGTGAAGATCTGCAAACAGAGATTGTAGGCCCTCTTACCAGGAGCCTTAGACCCTCCCCATAGTAGGTGGACCTAGTAAATGTTTGTGCAATTAAATGGAAGCATCTGAAGGGCTGGTAGGTGAATAGGGATGTGGCTCATTTTGCCTGGTCCCAGTTGACCAAACTAGGACCAAGATGAGGAGAGTTACAGAGAGGAAGATTAAGGTTCGTTATTAAAAAAACTTGATAAAAGTTAGAGCTATCCCAATGGTGGAATAGGGTGTATAAGAAGGTAATGAGTTCCCTGTCAGTGCAATTCAAGTGGAGGCCGAATGGAAGACCTCTCAACTGGGATGTTGTAAAGTGGATTCTTGCCCTGGTGTGGGTTGGACTGAATTCCCTTTCAGGTCTGAAAATGTGACTCTGTGTCCTTTGAGTTCCCTTTCGCGGCTGAGATCTTGTGGTTAGAGAGGCCTTCTCCTCTGGTAGAAAGAAAATTGTATTAGAAGGTGGAAGATCAGCTCTGGCATTTATTGCTACCCAGCTTTGTGACCTTGAGTGAGTCAGTCCCTGCAGACTAGAAAAATGGAAGCTGAGAGGATGATGCTAGTGCCTGTGGGTTTTCTTTTCTTTTTTTTAATTAATTTATTTGTGCCTGTGATTTTTCAAAGCGTCTCAGTTTCCTCCTTCAAAAAGTGAAGGGGTTGGTACTCAAATGGCTAGGTGGCTCTGGGGTAGAGTGATGGACCTGAATGCAAACCTGGCCTCACACATTTTCTAGCTGTGTGACTCTGGGTAAGTCACTTTACCACTTTCTGCCTCAGTTTCCTCATTTATAAAATGGAAATAATAGCAGCACCTGCCTCCCAGGGTGGTGGTAAGGATCAAACAAGATAATATTTGTAAAGTGCTTACTTATCACAATGCCTGGCATATAGTAGGTGCTTAATAAATACTTGTTCCCCTCCCCCTTCAACTGATCTTGGCGAGCTCCTTCCACCTCTGACATTCTCTGTCCTAAGATCCCTTCTTCGTCTATCTCTGACGTTTTGTGAGTGATGCGGTGGTCCGTCCAGCCTTCAGATTAATGGCACGGGAGGGGATTGATGAGAGCTGTTTTAGAGATACAGACCCTAGACTTCTCCTCTCCTGGGGCTCTAGCCTCAGGCCTCCTGACAGTGTCTACACTTGCTCACAGGTGGAAGGACTCCTCTTTTAGGTCAGAACCAGTTCTAAGGAGCTGTCCCCATAACTAGTCTCCCTGGGACTGAGATAAGGCGGCTCTGTGTGTGACTTTGCAAATACACACATAGCAGGAATGCTGTTAACCTTGTGTTGGTATATAGCTTTATGCTTTTAACTTTGGCGTCTATTATCTTAGCAGTAGTCCTGTGGGGGAGGGAGTAAGGGGAAGGGAAGAAATTAAGGCCGGGAGAGAAATCATAGACTTAGTAATAATTTGCATCCCTATAGCTCTTTGAGATTACAAAATGTTTTTTCCAACAGCCCTGTAGGGTAGGTAATTTAAGTACTGTCATTGTCATTTTACAGACAGGCTGGGGATGCTGAGCTCCAGAGAGATGAGTTGACCTGCCTAAGGTCATCATACATGAAGGAAGTTGTTAGAGAAAGAATTCGAACTCGGGTCTTGTGACCTCGCCCTTTCTACTGCAGTGTGACACCTTCCTAATTTCATAATCTTAGAGCTTGCAGGAGGCTTAAAGATTACTTGGTTCTTGTTTTACAGGAGAGAGCTGGGGAGAACATTTCCTTTTGATCCCACAGGGAACAATTCATAGGCCCTAAGTAAGTGTTGGTTGGTTGATTGATTGGATCCAGATCTAGGTCACTGACCAGTTCTGAAGAGGAATCTTTAATGGGTGGATGATGTGTTAGAGGGACATCTCTGGTCTGGGGTGCCTGAGGGGATTTATTGTCAACCTTGGGCTGATTTTCTAAAATGTCTTTGGCTATGTTCCTCAAAGGAAATCTTAAAGGCTGAAAGTGGTGGGTGGGGGTGTGTGTGATGTGGACAGTGAGGAACTAACTTACCTAAGGTCACACAGCAAATTATTGGCAGAGTCTCTACTTTTGTATTATTTTGTCCCTATATAAGTACCAGCCCATTGTGCTTATGAGCACAAGGTACTCTTATTAACTCTTATTTTACAGCTGAGGAAACTGAGGCAGACTTGCCCAGGGCCACACAAAACTCATATCTCTGAGGCTGGATTTGAGCTTGGGTTTTTCATAGTCCAGGCCCATCCATTGTACCATGTAGTTGCCTACCTCTGTTTACCCAAATGGACCAGAAAAACTGTTTTCTGAGCAAAGAAACTGTTATTGTTAACTATTGTTAATTGCACTTGGTGAGTAGTTATCATTTTGGACTACCTGAACCTTCCTCATTTCTTCTCCCCAAAATAATGGAAATGAAAGAAAATGGGGAGGGAGGGGGAAAGTTTTGCTAAGTAAGAGCTGATTGTACTTGGGAGCCCAGTGTTTTTCTAAGCATTCTGAAAGTGCTAGAGGCTAGATTGAGGTGGCAGGATGATTTTATCTTGGTGTGGGGAAGATATGTCTACAAAAACATAAACTGGGCCTCAGTTTCCCAGTCTGTAAAATTGAGAGGGTTGAGTTAGTCTATGTATGGTCTCTTTCAGTTCTGTCATTCTCTGTTCTATGTTCTAAGGCCCCTCCCAGCTCCAACAGTCTGTGTTTTAAGGCCCCTCCCAACTCTGACACTTCGTATTCTAAGACTCCGCCCAGCTCTGACATTCTCTTTTCTATATTTCAAGACCACTTAAAGTTAAAGTTCTAGCCTATGTTCTGCATTCTAACTCCTCTCTCATTTTATTTCCTATAATTTGATGTCCTTTTCAACACTGGCATTGTTTTCAGGTTCCTCCCAGTTTTGCTATTCTGTGTCATATTTTAATATCTTTTTCATCTGTACTGTTTTATGTCCTAAGGGTTTTCTCATTTGGATAAGTACAGTTCCACCTTTTTTTTATACAGATAAAGGAACTAAGGCCCAGAGAGGGAAAAGGACAAAGAAAGAGCCCATGTCTCCTGACCTCCAAAGCTCTGGCTCTCTGACTGACTGATGGAAATACTGACTGATGGGCAATGAAGAAACAGGCTAGGTCCCTTTAAAACGCCAGGGTTCAGAATCTGGCATTTAGAGTTCATGGAGAGGAGAGGAAGAACTGGGATTGGATAAACATGCCACTCTTCTCCCCTGGCTTTTTACAAGCCCTGTGGGGCGGATGGGCAGTCCCCACATGCTTATTGGCCTTTCAAAATTGAAACAGATTTTTTCCAGAGAGGCCTTTTTCCAGATAGGTCCTGCCTTGTTACCCTCCCCAGGCCTCAGACATCTGGTCTGTGGGTGTTTGGGACTGTTGTTGTTTTTAAAAGAAAAAACCCTGCTTGGAAGGAGACCCAGCCCTGTTCCCAGGACCCCGGGGAACGTGGGCCACTGATGGATGGCTTCGTTAATCCATTCATTTAGCAATCATTGTTAAATAAGCCCCTTGATATGCTAGAAGAATCTAGTCCTGGATTCCCCCCACCCCCTACTCCCCACTAGCTGTGTGCCAGTGGGCAACTTACTTAATCCCTCTGAGACTTAGTTTCCTTTCCTGTAAAAGGGGTTAATTATCTTTAGGATCCCTGCTTCATAGAGTTTGGTGAAGAAAATGCTTTGTAAACCTTAACACTGGGGTTTTGCATTCCCTTCCTCACAAGACTGTCGGGAGAAAGATGCCTTTTAAATGTACTAGATAGGTGAATGGATAAGTGGGTGCATGGGTGGATGGTTAGATGGATAGATAGATAGATGACGGATGGATAGATAGGTAAATAGGTAGGCAGATAAGTAGGTAAGTAGATGGATGACTGGATAGATACGTGGATGGATTGATGAATGGATGGATGGATGAATGGATGGACAGATGGATGGATAGATAGATGGATAGGTAGATACATAAACATATAGATGGTCGGATTGTTGAATGGATAAACAGATGGATAGATAGAGCATTGGATGGATAGACAGATGGATAGATAGATAAGTAGATAGGTAGAGTATTTATTAAATTCTTACTGCATGCCAGGCACTGTTACAAATAGAAGCAAACTAGTCAGTCTTTGCCCCCAGGAGCTTCCATTCTTGCGTGAGAAGATAACGTATGGGGTGGGGAGAGGGAGTTGTATGCCTTGTATGGAGATATCTGGAATGGTTCTGAGCAGAAAGCTCTTGTCTTGGGGCTTAGGGCAGTTCCAGAGGCAGAATCCAGGGGAGAAGGTGGGTATAGTTTGGAACCAGTGGCCAGGAAGTGGCTAGTCAGCTTACACCTCTGAACCTCACTTACTTCCCCTTGTAAAATAGGGATGATGATTTCTGTGGCCTCCACCCCACAGAGTTGGAAGGATAGTGCCTTGTAAGTCTTAAAGCACCAGAGAAATGGGAGGAGCTATTACCAGAATTATTATTGTAAGCGGCACAGTGGGGGAGGGGCCTATAGATTGTACCATTTGAGGATCAGTTGGAGAAGCTGGTGATGTTTAGCCAGGAGAAGAGAAGATTTTGTGGGAGAGATGGTAGCTGTTGTCAAGTATTTGGCAGGAGGCAGCATCGTGGCTAAGTAGAAAGAAGGCTAAATTTAGAGGCAGAGGTTCTGGGTTCACAATCCTGGCGCTGATATTTACTACCTTTGTGACTTTGGACAAGTGGTTTTCTTTTTTTTCTTTAAGGCAATTGGGGTTAAGTGACTTGCCCAGGGTCACTCACACAGCTAGTAAGTATCAAGTGTTTGGTCTGAGGTCGGATTTGAACTCAGGTACTCCTGACTTCAGGGCCGGTACTCTATCCACTGCGCCACCAAGCTGCCCCCTGGAATAAGTGGTTTTCAAACCCTCCCTTAATAAATGACAGGGTTGGAATAGATCACGTCTACAATCCTTTTTTCCAGCTCTGGACCTATGACCCTATATAAAAGAGGGATAAGGCTTGTTCTGTTTATTTGCCCAGGGGGTGGCCTAGATGCCATTTGGGTTTGATGTAGGGAAAGCTTCCTAATGCATAGCACTATGCAAAAGCACAGTGGATCAGCCCTAGGAAGGAACAAGTCCCCTATCCTTGGAAGTCTTGATGCAAGAAAGTTAGAGAGGGCCACTTGCGTGTGTGTGGGGAGGGTGGCAGGGGCTTGCTTTAGGAGGAGGATTCTTGTCCAGTAATGGGTCTGACTTATGCCTTCATGCGCTCAGAGGTCCCAAGCTCACCTGAGAGGCAGCTGCCCCAGGGCCCTAAACATAGCTGTGTGCAGAGAAGTCCTCTGCACCCCCACCCCCCCATCAGAGTCCCTGCAGTAAATGTGTAGGGAGCTGTCCTCAGAGAGACACTGTTAGCAGAAATCCGTCCTGGCTGATGTCTTCAGTGGTCTTCTGGGGCTGATCCCACAGCTGCCAGGCCCTTGGGCATGAGGACGAATTGCATTAGGAGAGGGGAGATGTTGCTGACTGTCCTTCTCGTCTGTCTTGCCAGAAGAATTAATCTTTAAGTCTGCAATTGAATTATTCCTCAGAGAGCCTGCACACACACACACACACACACACACACACACACACACACACACACACAGAGGCATGCACATATGCACAGTCCCAGACATGTCAGCTATGAATCTTATCTTCTCTGTTATAGGTGGGAGGCAGAGTTAACATGCCCTGACCTTAAATTAACTCACTCCTGAGCTTCAAACCTCTGAAAACCTGGCCAAGTTGCTGCCAGCCATGAGTAACACCCAGGGTAGGGAGTGGTGAGCTTGGGGCACTCAGTCCCTGGTGTATGGCCTGACAAGGGGTCTGGTTAGGCCTTTAGCAACAGAAGCAGGGATTGGGGGGGTGGGTGGTATTGAGAGAGACACAGAAGGAGAGTCATAGACCCTGCCATACTCTGAAGTGGGGAGTTCCAGGCTTTGCCCCTGGTCTGAGAAGATTCTAGCATCAGAACTAAAAAGATCCTGAAAAATCATTTAGGCCATACAAAGCATTTACAGATTTGAAAGGTGGGGAAAGTGAAGCCTCAAAGAAGCAGCAGCAGCAGCTTATCCAAGGCCATTCCATTGGTTATGTAGCAGAGCAAAGATCTAGCCCACATCCTCCACCACAATGGAGTCTTGGAATCAGAAAGGCCCACCTTGGGTAGCTGTGTGAGCTGGGGGAAGTCGCTTCATTTCCCTGTGCCTCAGTTTCCTCACCTGTAAAATATGGGAGTTGCCTTCTAGCTCTAAAGCCAAGGTACTGTGATCCTGCATGAATCCATTGTGGGGATTAAGGCCAGCTTAATGAGCCTGGAGCCCAGAGAAACTCAGCTCTAGTCCCACCTGTCATACAAAAGAGCTGTGTGACCTTGGGCTGGCCAGACCTCTTCTTAGTCTCAGCAGCACCATCTCTAAATGAAGAGATTAGTGCCTGCCCTGCCTCCATTACAGGGCTGTTGGCAGAGCCCCAAGGAGAGTAGGGAGGGGGACAGGATTGGGAAAATGAAATGATAGATGAGAATGTCGTTAGTTCTTGCTTTAGTATTATTATCATTATTATTATTATTATTATTATTATGATTTTATCCAGGAGGAATACTTGTCCCAACAATCCCCATTTGTCCAGTTCTTGACAGATGCAAAGCATTTTCACACATACCCCCTCATCTGATCCTCTCAAGAATTCTCAGGAGAGTGAATGTTTTTCTAATCACCATTTTACAGATGAGAATATCGAGGCTGAGAGGTGTTAATTGACCT